GAGCCTTAACCGCCAAAATAACGTAATCGACATTTTTTTTTAATTTTCTTTTTGATGCAGAAATGCATCTAAATGCTCTAGGAATATTTCTGCATCAAAAAGAAAATTTTGAAAAAAATTTCGCTTACGTTATTTTGGCGGTTTGGGCTCGATATGTACCTTTGTATACAATAAACGTTGATTAAGAACAATTTTTTGTACATTCAATTGAAAAAGACGTTTTTGGGTAAGAAATGACGTTTTTTTCAGACCAAGAGGGACGTTTTCTCATGCCGAAAACCTGGCAACACTGCTCAAGAGTGTTACATATTTTCTTCCATGAGCAATATGTAAGTTTGCAAGGAAGTAGACGTTCAACACCACTGAGAAAAAAAAATTTCAAAAATCAACCCAATTTTTCTCTAAAAATTGTGAGTCAAAATTTTGAAATATAGATGAAAATTTGTAGAATTTTTTAAGTTTTGCAAAAAGTTTTAAAATTTAATTCGTATGGTTTTGTTAAAATATGAACTATATTTTCGTGAAAAACTACCCAATGATCATTATTAAAAACATGGGAGTGTCTATTCGCACTTTGCCAGTGTCACCAGCGTACCAGTGTCACCAGTTTCACCAGTGTACCAGTGTCACCAGTGTACCAGGTTCACCAGTGTCACCAGTTTCACCAGTGTCGCCACTTTCACCAGTGTACCAGTTTCACCAGTGTCGCCAGTGTCACCAGTGTCACCAGTGTCACCAGTGTCACCAGTGTCGACAGTGCCGCCAGTGTCACCAGTGTCGCCAGTTTCACCAGTGTACCAGTGTGCAAGTGTCACCAGTTTCCGCAGTGTACCAGCGTAACCAGTTTCACCAGTGTCAATAGTTTCCCCAGTGTACCAGTGTCACCAGTGTACCAGTGTCACCAGTGTCGCCAGTGTCGACAGTGCCGCCAGTGTCACCAGTGCCTCTAGTTTCACCAGTGTACCAGTGTCAATAGTTTCCCCAGTGTACCAGTGTCGCCAGTGTCACCAGTGTCACCAGTGTACCAGTGTCACCAGTGTACCAGTGTGACTAGAGTCGCCAGCGTACCAGTGTCGCCAGTGACGGATGTGTCAACAGTGTCGCCAGTGTGGCCATTATATTTTATATAGAAAAGCGCCGCAGACGAAGTCGGCCGATTTTTTAATCCTTTTTACTATCTTCTGAATTTTTTTATAGAAAAAGTGCCGGAAGCGAAAATTTGGAATAAAAAATCGCGTGATTTTTTATTTCAAATTTTCACTACATATTAAATTATTGTTTTTCTTTTTTTACGAATATAAAACAATATTTTAATATATAGTAAAAATCTGGAAAAAAATTGCCTGCGGCGCTTTATTCTTTGAAATTTTTACTATATATTAAAATAATTATGCCCCTATTAAACAAAAAAAAAAAACAATAATTTAATATAGAATGAAAATTTGGAATAAATGACGGCGTGACTTTTCATTCTGAATTTTCGACTGCGGCGCTTTTTCTAACAAAAAAAAATTAATTTATATTAAAAAGGATTAAAAATCGGCTGATTTCGAATGCAGCGCTTTTCTCTGTAAAACAATATGGCCGCACTGGTGACACTTGCGACACTGGTGACACTGGTGACACTGGTGACACTGGTGACACTGGTGACACTGGCGACACTGGTAACACTGGTACACTGGTGAAACTGGTGACACTGGTGCACTGGTAACACTGGTGAAACTGGCAACACTGGTGAAACTGGTGGCACTGGTGAAACTGATGACACTGGTACACTGGTGAAACTGGTGACACTGGCGACACTGTTGACACTAGTGAAACTGGTAAACTGGTGACACTACTGGTACACTGGTGACACTGGTGAAACTGGTGACACTGGTGAAACTGGTGACGCTGGTGAAACTGGTGACACTGGTGATACTGGCGACACTGGTGAAACTGGTGACACAGGTACACTGGTGACACTGGTGAAACTGGCGACACTGGTGACACTGGTGAAACTGGTAAACTGGTGGTACAATGGTGAAACTGGCTACACTGGCGACACTGGTGACACTAGTGAAACTGGTAAATTGGTGACACTACTGGTACACTGGTGAAACTGGTGACACTGGTACACTGGTGACACTGGTGACACTGGCGACACTGGTGACAGTAGTGAAACTGGTAAACTGGTGACACTGGTACACTGGTACACTGGTAAAACTTGCTACACTGGTGAAACTGGTGACACTGGCGACCCTGGTATTCTGGCTACACTGGTGACACTGGTGAAACTGGTGCCACTGGTACACTGGTAAAACTGGCGACACTGGTGACACTGGTGAAACTGGTGACACTGGTGACTCTGGTGAAACTGGTGACACTGGTGAAATTGGTGACACTGGTGATAATGGCGACACTGGTGATATTGGTGACACTGGTACACTGGTGACACTGGTGAAACTGGCGACACTGGTGATACTGGTGACACTGGTGAAACTGGTGACACTGGTACACTGGTGACACTGGTGAAACTGGTGACACTGGCGAAACTGGTGACACTGGTACACTGGTGAAACTGGCTACACTGATGAAACTGGTGACACAGGTACACTGGTGACACTGGCGACACTGGCGACACTGGCGACACGGATGACACTGGCGACACTGGTGACACTGGCTACACTGGTGAAATTGGAGACACTGGTACACTGGTGACACTGACGACACTGGCGACATTGGCGACACTGGTGACACTGGTACACTGGTGATACTGGTGAAACTGGCGACACTGGTGACACTGGTGATACTGGTGACACTGGTGACACCGGCGGCACTGTCGACACTGGTGACACCGGTGAGACTGGCTACACTGGTTAAACTGGTGACACTGGTGATACTGGTACACTGGGGAAACTATTGACACTGGTGAAACTGGCGACCCTGGTGATACTGGCGACACTGGTGATACTGGTGAAACTGGCGACCCTGGTGATACTGGCGACACTGGTGATACTGGTGAAACTGGCGACCCTGGTGATACTGGCGACACTGGTGATACTGGTACACTGGGGAAACTGGTGGCACTGGTACACTGGTGAAACTGGCGACACTGGTGATACTGGCGACACTGGTGACACTGGTACACTGGTGACACTTGTGAAACTGGTGACACTGGTACACTGGGGAAACTATTGACACTGGTGAAACTGGTAACACTGATACACTGCGGAAACTGGTGACACTTGTACACTGGTACACTGGTGAAACTGGCGACACTGGTGACACTAGCGGCACTGTCGACACTGGTGACACTGGCGACACTGGTGACACTGGTGAAACTGACGACACTGGCGACACTTGTGACACTGGTGACACTGGCGACACTGGTGACACTGGTGAAACTGACGACACTGGTGACACTGGCGACACTTGTGACACTGGTGACACTGGTACACTGGTGAAACTGGTGGCACTGGTGAAACTGGTGACGCTGGTACACTGGTGACACTGGCGACACTGGTGACACTGGTAACACTGGGGACACTGGCGACACTCGTGACACTGGTACACTGGTGACACTGGCAGAGCCGAAGACTCCCGACACTGGTACACTGGTGACACTGGTGACACTGGCGACACTGGTACACTGGTGACACTGGCAAAGTGCGAATAGACACTCCCTAAAAACATTGCGAATATTGTGAAACAATCACTGTACGAATAACTACTTTGACTATGTAGTACATTCAAATTTATTATGTATGTATGTATATATGTTTGTAAGTATATCTATTAAGTTTATTAATAGTTTTATAACACTGATAAATTCATGCATTTCAACATTTCACTTAATATTACTTCCAAAATTACTTGTACAAGTTCCCAGTAAAAATATTTGTCATTTAGAGGCGAGCGCCCGCTCGTGGGTGTCACCATAATATTGCTATAACTTTTGAACTACTTGTTGTCTAAACCTGCAGCTTTCCCAAAACTGTCCGTATATATTTGTCTTTAATGCTGCATTAAAAAAAACAAAAATTTTAAACTTCATAACACAACTTTTGCATTTGTAAAAACCACCTCCTTAATTTTTATAAAAATGTTAAAATATCCGCCATTTCATTTTAAATAAGTATTAAGAAGTGCAGTTAGACTCATCTTCTTCAGAATAGTAACTAGTTTATTGTGTACAAATTGCAAATCAATCGATACACAAACGTCTGAGATATAGCGAGTTTAATTGAAAACTTCGCAAAAATTTTCGGTAGTGAAAAATCCGGTTTTGTGGCTTTTTCGACATAAAGGCATGAGTAAAAATTTGGTTAACCCTTTCTCTGCATTTGGTTAATATATTGTACAAAAAAATATCTGCCATTCGTTGGCCTGAAAATGTTAAACTATTACAGCTTAAAAAAATGAGGCTTTGGAAACTATAACATTCTGTTTTCATTATTATGAAAATTTATGAACACAGGGTAAAGAACGGTGATTTTATATAAGTTTGAAAAAATGTCCACAGAGGAAAATATAAATTTCTTAAAGGACATGAACAAAATTGAATATTTTGAATAAGTAATGAAAACATTTCTCTATAATTATGTACCTAAAATAAAAGTCAACATTTCACTCTTCAATAACAAATAAATACACTTAAACAATTTTGCAATAAAAAAATTAATAAACGCTCCCAAAAAAAAGTGTGCAATATATTGTACAAATGCACGCAACTCTAATGTACAATATAGTGTACAAATTGAATTTGGTCAATATCTTGCACAAATGACACGAAAGGTTGTTAAATTACACTCAGCATAGAAGTGGCCGTTGGAGCAAAACCAACATATTAGACTCTGCTGCTTGCACGAAATTTGAAATTTGGAGAAGTATTTATAAGAATATTGGAGTAGCTTGTTTTTCATAGAAATATTTTGTACACGCGTAGCACATTAGTTCACATATTGTAATTGTGAGTCAGTCAGAGTATTTTCATTTATAACTTAAAAAGCTCCTATAATATGAGTTCGTGTAAAAAGGGTTTATCTGAAAGCGAAATAGTTGATATACTGGATAAGATAGATTCAAATTTATCTGATTTAGAGGAGGAAAATGATAGTTTCGACGAAGATGCAAACGATGCTGAAACTCATGTGTTAGCCGAAATAAATATCGATCCTGAGGACGACATTCTTATAGATTCTTCTATAAGGCGCAAATTTAACAAAGAAAACGTTCTTGAGTCAAGCTTTTCCGATTTCCGGGAAGAGGTTTTCGAAGCGATCGAATCGGAAGATGAAGGTGAGGTGAAAATTCAAGCAATGCTCAATTCGTTGTTACAGACAAGAAGATGATCACATGGAGGAAACTAAACTATGAGCCAAGCCCATTTTCTTTCGAGTCAAGTTCTTTTCAAGGAAGCGAAAATTCTGAGAACCCATTTTACTACTTTAAACAGTTTTTTACTCCCGAAGTATTCGAAAAGGCAACATTTTATACAAATTTGTATGCTACGCAGAGAAACGTTACAGGATATAAAAATGCCACAAAGGAGGAAATCGAAGTTCTAATAGGTCTGCAAATTGCTATGGGAAGTATGCAATTACGGAGAATGTCAATGTTTTGGGATCCGACTTTAGGTGTTACACTTTTTAAAGATTCAATGACAATGAGACGATTTGCACAGTTGCGTACGCTATTACATTTCACCGATAATTTGAAAATACCCAAGGAATGTGGTGACAAATTTGTGAAAATACGTCCGTTAATAGATGCTATTAGGAATCGATGCCTTGAAGAGCCGGTTGAACAAGATGTGTGCATTGACGAACAAATAATACCTTTCAAAGGAAGACTTTCTTGTAAAGTTTATCACAAAGGGAAGCCAAACCCATGGGGTATAAAAAATTACGTTCTTTGCGGTAAATCGGGCTTTCCTTATGACTTTGAGTTATATCAAGGAAAACAAACTTGTTTAGACCCGCAAGTTTTAACAAAATATGGATTCTCGACCGCAATTGTCCTACATCTATGCAAAAGACTAGTCAACAGTGGACATAATCTTTATTTCGACAANGTTTAAAAGATACGTGTGATCTGCTAGGTTAAGTCTTAAGCTAGCACACCATTGCTTTATCTTCGGTTCGCGATAAGATATCAGAGTTCTGCAAACGGCATATTTAGTTGCTTATTAATTGCTAATTAGTTACACAATTTCCGATTTAGTTGCTCATTACGTTTAACAGATACGTGTGATCTGATAGGTTAAGTCTTAAGCTAGCAGACCATTGCTACATCTTCGGTTCACGATAAGATATCAGAGTTCTGCAAATGGCATATTTAGTTGCTTATTAGTTGCTCATTAGTTACACTATTTCCGATTTTGTGGCTCATTACGTGCAAATCATACGTGTGTGTGTGAAATTTTTTTTATAAAGCTTTTAATTTTACCATTATTCTTCTAAAAATGAGCCCTTAATCTTTATTATTAGTAGGAAATGTACTTTTAGTTTCAAGACTCAAGTTTTAGACACAGCCACTTTAGTTTTAGACTCAATCAATGGCAACAAGGCTTGTTTCTGCATGAAAACTCGAATTTGGACGAAAAAAAATAAATATTAAGCCGGCTGATTGTCATAGCGCGCAAAAAGATAGGAGTTGGCCATCTTTTCGCTTCGCGCTGCATTTTTATACAATTCATCTTATCTGTCAAAGCGAATCTGTCACCTGAAGCGCAGCAAAAGTTTTATGTGGCATCTAAGTCAAACTTTATACAAAACTTAGAAAAATTCAACAAATTTTCGTCTATATTTTGAACTTTTTAATCTGAGGTTTTAGAATGATAGATCGGTAGAAAAGCAAGTGCAGGTTTTAAGCGGCTAAAAAATCGCGTCGATTTTTAATGATTTTTTTATTGCGGACAGCTTGTACTTTTTACAATATACATAAAAGCGAATTTTTTATAGAATAAAATGCGCAAGGCCGTTTGCAAAGAAAATAAAAAAAACACAATATTTCAAATAGAAATTGCTCAAAATTCGGAAAAACTGCGCCTCTTGATTGAAATTGATAGGCCCATGAAAATTGTGGGGTACCGAATGCTCAACAAATTTGTTTACATTTTTTCGCGATAAATGCAAAATTCGCGCGTAAATCGTAAAAATCACAAAATCCCATACGGCGGGCATTTCCCATATCGCAATTGGGGGAAATATTTTCATTTTGTGTTCACCTAAACAGGAGACACCTAACTGCGTCAAAAAATTTCTTCCCGGAATTTTTTTTAATCTTACGTCGATTTTGGTCTAAAGTCATTGTGCTATTAATGAAATTAATTTTACAAATACATTTGAACTATATAATATTAAGTTTATTAATTAATATCGTTATTTTGATAACAAGCCATAATTTGTTAGACACACATACGTACATACACAGGCAATAAAAAGTGATTGCATGGTTCTTTTTTGTTTAATATTTACAATGTTTTTCAAGTAAATATTTTTTTGTTTTTTTTTATAAAAATATTTTTCATGCTTTAATCGAAACCACATAAGTCAAACTTTCAAAATTTATAAAGAACGTAGAAAAATTCAACAAATTTTCATCTAAATAAGTTTTGGGTACGCAGATAGATTTGTTATGTATGTAATTCTAGTGAAACAAGTGAATGTTTTAAGCAGATAAAAAATCGCTTTAATTTTTAATGAAATTTTTTCCGACGTATTTTGCGGTTTTATGCATATAACATGTGTAATTTATAAAACATAGTGTTTATTTTGTGTTTTTTTTTATTTTGTTTGCAAACGGTCTTGCGCATTTTATTCTACAAGAAATTCGCTTTTATGTATATGGTAAAAAGGGTGGGGTGCAATAAGGCCATACGCAATAAAGCCATATTGGAAATAAAGCCATATTTTTTTGGTAATAAGGCCATAAATTCGATATGGCTTTATTGCCAATTACAATTGGTAATTAAGCCATATGGCTTTATTTCGCTTTCAAATTTTTATGTTTCTTTTATTTGAACAATGGAAAAAGTTCGCAACAAAACTACTAAACCGCCTTGAACTACAACGTCCCCTTAAACATGCAATTACTCTCCTTCGCGTCCAGCCGCGCCGCGCTCCGCCGTTCACGCTCCGCGCGCGCTGCGCCGGCCCCCGCGCTCCGCCCTTCACACGCGGCGCGGTGCGGGGAGCCAGCAAATGTGCACCCGCCAGGTTATGCACTCGCAAAATTAAAACTTACCTAAGTACATATATTTCTTTTTCAATATCCAATAAATCCGTAAATATTAAATAATTATTTATTTCATTTTATTAGTAATAATTTGTATAAATTTAAATAATTCAGTATCAGTTTCAAGAGTGTGTCCAAGGCGAATTTAATAATGAATTACAACAAACACATCATATGGACGTAATGTTCAGATAAAATTCAGATTCGCCGTTAGCACCGCCTTGAGAGTGTCATTTCAGAATATGGCTTTATTTCTCATTTGCAAAATTTTTTGTAAGGCTTTATTTCTCTTTCTGATTGGAAATAATATGGCTTTATTGCCTAGAAATATAGCTTTATTGCCATATGGCTTTATTGCGTATGGCCTTATTGCACCCCACCGGTAAAAAGTACAAGCCGTCCGCAATAAAAAATCATAAAAAATCGACGCGATTTCTTGCACTTGCTTTTTTACCATTCTAAAACCTCAGATTAAAAAGTTCAAAATTTAGACGAAAATTTGTTGAAGTTTTGTGTGAGGTTTGACTTATGTGGTTTTGATTAAAGCATGAACCATATTTTTATACAAAAAAATAACGAACAAATTTTAACCGCGCGCAGCATTTTTTTATTCGCATATGTGCATACATATAACTGCATCTACATGGGTATGTATATGTATTTACAAATATTTTTATTTACTAAAGCTGATGCCACATAAAACTTTTGCTGCGCTTTAGTTTACAGATTCGCTTTAACAGATAAGATGAATTGTATAAAAATGCACAAAGCATGCCACATAGATCGTTGAAGCTGCATCGCGAAGCGAAAAGATGTCCAACTCCCATCTTTTTGCGCGCTATGACAATCAGCCGGTTTATTATTTATTTTGTTTCGTCCAAATTCGAGTTTTCATGCAGAAACAAGCCTTGTTGCCATTGATTGAGTCTAAAACTAAAGTGATTGAGTCTAAAACTTGAGTCTTGAAACTAAAAGTACATTTCCTACTAATAATAAAGATTAAGGGCTCATATTTAGAAGAATAATGGTAAAATTAAGAGCTTTAGGAAAAACAAATTTCACACACACACGTGGGATTTGCACGTAATGAGCAACTAAATCGGGAAAAGTGTAACTAATGAGCAACTAAATATGCCATTTGCAGAAGTCTGATATCTTATCGTGCACCGAAGATGTAGCAATGGTCTGCTAGCTTAAGACTTAACCTAGCGGATCACAAGTATCTTTTAAACGTTATGAGCAACTAGATCGGGAATAGTGTAACTAATTAGCAACTAATAAGCAACTAAATATGCCGTTTGCAGAACTCTGATATCTTATCGTGAACCGAAGATGTAGCAATGGTGTGCTAGCTTAAGACTTAACCTAGCAGATCACACGTATCTTTTAAACGTAATGAGCAACTAAATCGGGAATAGTGTAACTAATTAGCAACTAAATACCCAACAGGTTAGAGTTGCGCGTCGCGACCATGGTCTGCTAGCTTAATATACGTTGAAACTGGCAGTTATTGTTGAAATTAAATGTGCTGAAAAATACGAGTTAGTTTCATTTGCAAAAAGCAAATTACGCGTAAAAAGCTATATTGAGCAAACTGGTAAGTACATTTATCAACAATTCTTAAATAAACTTACAATTGCATCTGTAGTCTATTGAAAGGAATCTCGTTTCGCACTGCTCGTGGCAGTAAAGTTCTAGAAGAAAGTGTGGCAAGTTTTATTTTTCAATACAGCGCCTTTGCTTGTTTCCTACTGGAAGTTTCAGATCCTCAGAAAGAAAACCCCCTTTAAAAAGATTTGGCGATGAAAGCCTAAAAATCAGCAGTCAGGTGAATATTTAATATTAATAGAAATAAAATACAATGTGATTATAGTGACATATGTACATATCGAGCCCTAACCGCCAAAATAACGTAAGCGACATTTTTTTCAAAATTTCCTTTTTGATGCAAGAAATGCATCTAGATGCTCTAGAAATATTTCTGCATCAAAAAGAAAATTTTGAAAAAAATGTCGCTTACGTTATTTTGGCGGTTAGGGCTCGATATATTCGCGTACATTTTTGTCAAAGCTTTTGAAACAGCGTCTCGAAAACAACCAGTGCCATCCATGGTTGCCACTCGCCAACATTTTTTTACCAAAATCTCTTAAGAAAAGTTACCAAAAGTTACCAAATCTTCACTACCAAAATCTTCACTTCTTCACTTACAGCCCGAAACTTTGCACTTAATAAATTCAATATTTTTATAATTTGTCAACTTTTGATTATTTATCAAGAACTCCCAGTTCTAGCACAGAAGTTTAAATCTATTTTCTTGATAAATTATCAAGATTGAAAATGCTATTGACAATTATAATTTTTTTTATTAGAAAATATTTTTCTATCAATTAATTACTGCATTTTCCGTTATTCTCATTTTCGTTGTTGGTGTTTCCGACAGGGTAGGAGTATGATGTAATGTGGAACGATTTTCCATCATCCCTTGTCAAATTTGGTTTGGAGACAAACCGGTTTCGGCGTTGTGCCATTTTCAGTGTAATTTTTCGTTCGGAATGTGCCGATACTTGGACCCGCGACTCACGGAATAATAGCACCGGCAGACAAAAAAAGTGGCGCATGCTTTTAACGGTCCATTTGACTCGTACAAAATTACGAG